ATATGGGTACTGGGACCAACCACAGTCCCCTGAAAGAGCAGCAAGCGCTCTTAACTGCTGAACCGTTGTTTTGTTTTGAGACCAAGTGCTACTCTGTAGCTCAGGCTGGCCTGGAACGCATAGAAATCCTTTTGCCTTAGCCTCTTGAGTACTGGGATGCTACCATGTCCCCCCTGTTCAGGCTTTAGAACAGAGAAGTAACAGGACTCCAGGTGAGCAGAGCACACTTTTGAGCTCAAGGGATTTCAGAGATGGGCATACGCATGCCTCCTAGGCAGAAAAGTCCTCAGGAACATTAGAACAGGCCTAGAACCTGGGAAGGGGCAGTTCCATCCAGGGCGCTGAGAGCAGGACACCTGCGAAAACAGAAGGTGGGAACCAGAGTGGGAGAAATCCTCATGGGAAGAGCGAGAAAGAGAAAGGGGAAGGCTGCCAGTGGGAGGGACGTGGAAGGGATGGCGGCAGGGCACACGTGGCTGACAGCAGCTTTCTCCTTCCTCCTTGAGATTTCTGGGATTTTTTTTTTTTTTTTTCTCTGCGTATAGGGGTGGCTGGAACTAGATTTTTTAGTTTTTAATTTTTTTTCTGTGTAAGAGTGTTTTGCCTGCAAGTATGTATATGCACCACGTGTGTGCTTGGTGTGCAAGGCAGCCAGAAGAGGCCAGAAGAGGGCCGGGGAACTGGAGTTAACAGGCAGTTGTGAGCCACCACGTGGGTGCTGAGAACCAAACCCAGGTCCTCTGTAAGAGCAGCAAGTGTTCTTAACTATTGAGCCATCTCTCCAGTCCCCAGATGTATTTTTAATGATGCCGGGGATTAAATCCAAGGCCTCACACACACTGGGCAAATGCTCTGCACTGGGCTATAGCCCCTTCCTATTGCCAAAATGTTTATACCTAGCTCCAACATTCTTAGGAGCAAATTGTAGGCCAGGTATACCAAGGAGGACTTGGGGTAGGGGGGTTGGTGGGGCCTATGCTTCTCAAACTTTTTTCCATCAGATAATCAAGCTGAGCTTGTGGAAAAAGAAAAGACAGCAAAGGGTGGATGATTCTTGACTTCCCTTCAGCAATCCTGATGTAGGTCTAGGATAGGGCCCAAGAATGCAGTTTTATAAGTACTGCAGGTGTTTTTGTTAGACTTGGCCCTACTCCCACTAAAATGCACTGGCTTAGAGTCAGTGAATGCTGACAGGCTGGGGTGTAGTTCAGAGGCAGAGTGTTCCAGTGCTTGAGGCCCTGAGTTCAATCTCCAGTACTGAAAAAAAAAAATAAAAATGCTGCAGCTATAGTATGCAGGGACATCCCGTCCTTTCTAGTTTGTTCTGAGAACGTGTATGGAGAGCAACAGAAAAGGGCTCAGTAGTAAACTGTTCTCCAAGGGGCTCAGCTCAGTGCTAACCAGGAACACCTGTGCTCCTCCAGGGGCCATTTGAGGGCACTTTTGTTATTGTCTGAATGTTGGCACCACCCCCACCCCTCATTCACATATTGAAGTCCTTTCAATCCTCAGCACTCCCCTCTTCCCCCAAAACACACATAGGTTGAATTCCTAACCCCCAAAGTGATGTTAAGACCTTTAAGGGGGTGCAGCCCTATGAGTGGGATTAGTGTACCAAGAGAGCTGCTTGCTCTTTCCAACTCTTTTTCTTCTCTTTCTCTACAAGTGGGAAGTCAGCAGTTTTCAACTGGAAGGAGATCCTCACCAGGCACCAAATTGGTACCTTAATTTTGGAGTTATCCATCAGGATTATGAATAATAAATGTTGTTTATATGCTGTCCAGTTTATGGTATTTTGTTATACCAGCCTAGTGAGACCTGGAAGACCAGGGTTATTTCTGACACTGAGAAAGGTCAGAGATGCAGCTAAATATTTACTAGTCATAGGACACCGTCCTCTCCCCTACACTTCAAATCGTCCTGACCAGAATGTCAAAAGTGCAGAGGATGGGAGCCTGGGCCATGGGGTTCTGATCTTCGCGTCTGTCCTCGGGGTACTAGAACCAGTAGGTTCCCTGCCTCCCACCCACAGTGTAAGCATGCTACTTAGGAGATGCTAAAATGATAGGTTCATATGCAAAGAGAAACACAGGCGACTTTACATCTTTCCCCTTCTTTTTCCTTCCCAGCAAGTCTGGAAGCTTGGCTGCACTTCAAAGTCGATGGTGCCACCTAGTGGAAGCAGCGTGAACAACAGCCCGCAGGAATACTTGCAAGAACTGGAAGCTATTAATAATTTGCTGGCTTTTGCTGTTGAGAAGGGTCTGGAAATCTACCGAGACCACCCAAACGAAGCCAAATGGACTATTTACTCAGAGCTGTTTATGTAAAGGAAGCTAGATACCACGATTGGTAGAGACTTACATTTAAATGAAGACAAATGGTAGTGGTGTTTAGAAAAAAAAAGGAAAAGTTTTCAGGTGTGGTGGGCCTGAACACTGTTGGCCAGCTGTGGGAAGGGAAGTCTCTGTGACTGGTTATGAATTGGAAGTGAGGTGAAAATGAGCTGGAGGTCTTGACTAAGTAAATCCTCCCTGTTCTAGGACTCTGGCTGTAGATGTGGGGTCAGAGTTCCTTCCTCGTCTTCATTCTTTCATAACCTTTATGTCACTTAACAAAAAAATTTTATTATGCCTACTTATTTGGGAGGGGGTGTGGGGGGGTCACATTGTAAGGTGATGATGGTTTCAAATGATGCTGCTTGATAAGCCTTCTGGTGAATCAGAGCTACACAAGACTACTGTGTGCACCTTTGGGACAGAGTGGGCAAATGAATCTGGAGAAAGGGGATAATTAAGGCTGGTCACATTTAAAACAGGGTAGGGGATGGTGTCTGCCTTGCAGATATGGTCTGGTCTCAGCCACATTCTCAGGTCTGCAGAATCAGAAACTGAGGGTAGGGCTAGCCCACTGCAGTTATGATAAATGCTTAAGTTTGAGTTCCCTATCATGGGTAAATTTCTAGGATTGCACAAAGGTCCATATCCCCAAGCTAGGAGATGACAAAGACTTTTATTTTATTTATTTATTTTTTTTGTCTTTTTGAGACAGGGTCTCCCTGTAGCCCCAGCTGTCCTGGAACTCACTATGTAGACCAGGCTGGCCTTGAACTCACAGAGATCCACCTGCCTCTGCCTTCCTAGTGCTGGGATTAAAGGCGTGTCCCACCACACGCAGCCTGTTCTTTTGTTTTTTGTTTTGGAACTCTTGGCAGTAAGCAACTTTACCCACTGAAACATCTTGCTGGCCCATCACTAGACTTTCTAA